GAGCAGGGAGCCCGATGTGGGACTCGATCCCAGGACCCTGGGATCATGACCTGAGACGAAGGCAGTCGCTTAACCGACTGAGCCACCCAGGCGCCCCCTTTTTTTTCTTTAAAGGAAGGAAAAGACGAATTTTATCCCAGCTATTTCATAGGTCTGAGTAATGCAGTGACTTCTCAACTTCTAGACTACATCTTTCTGTTGTATGGTGGAGTCAAATTAGAATTCTAGAAAGCACAAAGGGAAAGGGAAGCCGAAGAGACAATGCTTCCATTTGGCAAGAATTGTGCTTCTTCCTTGTGAGAAGATAAAATGCTGTGAGAGAGCCATCTGTGTTTTGAAATAGCACACTTCCTCAGCAAAAATCCACAAAATTGATTAAATATAGCAAAAGTCACTTTCCACAGTGTATTTTCTTGAAATGTTTATACTATTAGTATTGTTAATGGAAGAAAATGTGTAGAAAATGTTTGTTAAATTGGTTTCTTGATTCCTCTTTTTATAGACCTGATATAGGCTATCGAGTTATCACAGACAAAGGATTTAATTTTTCACCAGCAGATGAAGCTTTTGTTTGCCAAAAGAAGAACCATTTTCAGATAACCATCCATATCCAAGTTCGGGGAAGTCCAAAATTTGTCAAAACCCAAATGGGCCTAAAGCCAATAGAAATGTTTTACTTGAAAACTTTTGGGGTTAAGGTAAGTCTTTTATTGAGCTCAATTTAATTAAGCCAACATTTATTAAGTGTTCCAGGTATCTGTTGCTGCATAACAAACTACCCCCCAAACTTAGCAACTTAAAATAATGACAATCATCTATTTGGGTCACAAATGTGCAGGTTGGTTAGGGGTTGGCTCTCACAGTTCATGTCTCTTCAGGAGTCATCAGCTGGGCCTGGATCCAGTTTCCAAGATGGCTCATGTATATGCCTGTCAAGTTTGGGCTGGCCATTGGCCAGGAGCTCAAATGAGACTATGGCTGGGAGGCCTTGGCTCTTCTTCATGAGAAGTCCCTCTCTGTGGGATAGGTTGTGCTTCCTCACGGCATGGTGGATAGGTTCTAAGAATAAATGTTCCAAGACATAGGAAGCGGGAGCTGCCAATTTCTTAAGCCTGAAACTGGCTCAGAAACTGGTACAGCATCACTTCAAACTACATTTTGATAGTTTTCACTATATAAATCTTGCACTTCTTTTACTAACTGTAATATTTTATTCTTTTTGATGCTGGTGCATTTTCATATGCAGTAGATTCGTAGTTTTTGCCAAATTCTCAAATAGGTCTCTGACCTAAAAAAGCCAAGGAGCCATTAAACAGAGGGGAGACTGAGTCACGGTAAAGTTAGACAGTTCATCCAAGATACGTACATGAGAGAGCTGAGTTTAGAATGCAGGTAGGATGAATTCTGAGTGGTCAACAAGGATTTGTTAACTTATTACCTCAGATCCAGCATTTAGGGGGAGGAGCATCTGTATTTTATTCTGATTATTAACCTGAGCTTAGGCAGTGAGTCTCCCAAAATAGGGCTTGATACCTTGACACCTCAGCTGCTCTTGCTCCAAACTGAGCTCTTAAACCAAACCAAAACAAAACAAAACAAAAGCAAACACAGATAACAAACAAATAAACAACAAAACATATTTTTCTGATTATGGAAGTAATATGAATCCATTGTGAATATTTTGGAATACAGTAGAAAACTATAAAGAAGAGAAAAAATTCATTCATATTTGGGATCCACCTTTTGGTAGTCTAATTTTTTTCTTTTATTAAAATTAATCTCATATTGTTAATAGTATATTATGAAAATAACATGATATTATTAAAGACCCTATAAAATATTGTTTACAAAGATGACATAGTTTCTATTGGATAAATGTACCATATTCCTGCATTATTATAAGTTTTGCTTATTTTCAATTTTTTGTTAATAAACTTCAGTAAACATCCATGTACATCTATCTGTCTTTGCATGAGGATACATTCCAGAAGAATTTATATATCAAAGGCATGAACATAATTAAAACTCTTGATGTATGTTGCCCAGCTGCTTTTCAGAAAAATTGTCGTTATGCTATTATCCACAAGCCATATATGACAGGGCAGATCTCACCACACCCTTGCCACTGTTCATTCAGAGCAAGAAGAGTTTTGTAGCAAGTACTGAAAAAAATGCCATTCTCCGTATTTTATTTATTTTCATTGTATATTGTTATTTCTTCTTATTAGAATATTAGCTCTGCAAGGGCTGGGGTTTCTGTTAATTTTGTCCACTTCTCATCTCTAATGCCTTGGGCAGTCCCTGGTGCCGAGCAGGTGCAGGTGCTCAGCACGTGTCTATGGAATGAATGAATAAATGGATGGATAGATGCATGTACCCTTGGAGCTGCCTTGCCTCTGTGTTTTGCTCCTGATACTTTAATCACCTACGAGCTCATGCCATATTCCCTGCTCACCTGCAGTTTTCTGTTGTCTTGTGTTTTCATTGTTTAGTTTTACACGTATTTGTTTCTTTTCTCACCAATAACATACTCCTTAAGGTTGGGGTCATTGTCTTATACATCTTTTCAGTGACTTGTTCCTCCTGCCCAGTGCCTATCATGATGCCTTGGAAAACTTTTAAAGTGCCTGAATGTTAATTAATAATGAACAGTGTTTATTAACAAATTAACTTATGTATTTGGTAACTAACTTACTTTTTATTGTTCCACACAGGTAGAAGCCACCAATCAAATAATTGCTATTGAGCAATCCCAAGCAGATAGAAGCAAAAAGATTTTCAATCCTGTTAAGTAAGAATTTCTTTTCTGAATTCCTTTGTGAATGTATTAGGAGAAAGACCTATTGCCTAATTTATTTTATTAAAAATGAATCCCGTTGACCATATGATTTCACTTATATGTGGAATTTAAAAAACAAAACAGATGAACAAATAAATACACACACCAAAAAAGCAGAAACAGACCTATTAATGTAGAGAACAAATTGATGGTTGCCAGAGAGGACGGGTTGGGGCAGGGGTAAAATGGGTACAGGGGAGTGGGAGGTAGAGGCTTCCAGTTATAGAATGAATAAGTCACAGGGATGAAAGGTACAGCACAGGGAACAGAGTCAATGGTATTGTAATGATGCTGTGTAGTGACAGATGGGAGCTGCCCTTGTGGTGAGCGTAGGGTTGATGAATCTCTATGTCGTACACCTGAAACTACTGTAACATTATATGTCGACTATACTTCAATTAAAAAATAAATAAAAAATAAAATGAATCCCACTGCAGAAACTACATTAGTAATATGCTAATATTCTGAATACATGCATATCAGCAAAAACAAAGTAGGTAAAATGCATTGAAATAATTTCAAGCAAATTCTTGTAAAAAGCTCATTTTAAGTCATCATTATTATTTTTTTAAAGATTTATTTATTCATGAGAGAGAGAGAGAGTGCAGGGGGAGGGGCAGAGGGAGAGAGAATCCCAAACAGACCACATGTACACACAGCACTGAGCTTGCCTGGTGCATCTGGTCCTCCCTGGCTGGGGCGGGCTGGGTGTGGCCTTCCACAGGAGCCAGGCCAGGAGGGGGCAAACATGTGAAGGGGATGCAAAGGAATTCATGCACAACTTAGAGACATGGCTTGTCAGGAGGCAAGTGCTCTAGCAACATCGGCAGAAGCACAAATGCAAAGTCTTTTCTCCCCGTTGTGGAGTTCAAAGAACCCATACGAGGCATGGGGAGCACATGCCCTTATGAGGCAGGAAGTCTGGGCTCGAGCTTCTGCTGAAAGAGCAGATCTCACCCTTCTGGAGTTATCCCCTGGCAGCCATTCCTGACCATGTTGTGGAGAGTTTATTAAAAATCGGTGCATGGAATAAACTGTCCTCCACGGGGGGGTGGGGGTGGAGGGGGGCTGAACACACCTGAGAATCTTGGAACGAGTTAGAGTTGATCAGAGTCTGCATTGTCTCACAGTGTCTTGGTATTTCTGCTGTCTGTTTTAGAGTCGACTTGCTGGCCGACCAGGTCACCAAAGTGACCCTGGGTCGGTTGCACTTCACTGAGACAACAGCGAATAACATGAGGAAGAAGGGAAAACCAAATCCTGACCAGAGGTACTGGCATCCATGGTGGCCAGGGACTCCATCTGACCAGCTGGTGCCCTCCAGAGACCCCTCAGATTCCTCTTGGTCCCACCAGCCTGCAAACCAGGCCGCCCGCGGCCCCTTTCCCCCTTCAGACTCTTCCTGTTTATTAACGCAGCTCATTTCCCCGTAGGCGTCTTTCCTTGTCCATCCTCACCCCCTACAGTGCCTGCTCTCCTGTCCAGCCCCAAATCTGCCTTGATTCCCTCCCTGATTCTCTGGAGTGACCGCACGTTTATGCCTCACTGTTGTCCAAAGGCTGAGGACCGTCAGACCATCACACCGCCCTGCTCGAAACTGTGTGCTCGTCACCAGTACAAAGCCCTGGGTCCTGGAGCTCTGCAATCGTCTTTTTTGGTTAAAAAAGGAAGTGAACTTGCATTAAGGATTTAAACCTGTGGTTCTCATAGTGTGGTCCCAGGCTAGCAGAGATGATGTCACCTGGACACTTGTTAGAGGTGCAATCTCTTAGGCCTCACCAAAGACCTACTGAAGCAAAAACTCTGGGGTGGGGCCCAGTAATTTGTATTTTAACAAATCCTCCAGGTGACTTGGATGCATACTCAAATTTGGGCACACTGGTTTTAGAACATAAGTGCTGGAGTTGGAAAGACTTGAATTTGAAATTTGATACTGCCATATGCTAGCTGGGTGACCTTGAGCATGTAACTTAACCCATTCTGTAAAATGGGGACAATGTCTATATCCTTCTCCAGTAGGGTTGTTCTGGGGTTCTAAATGAGATACTGTAGATAAACTGCTTAGCCCAGTGTATGACACATTCTGAGGACTCAGATGATGGCTAATGATTATAATGAAAATAACAAATATCACTATTACTGTTTTACTTTCAACATGGGGGAGAACTCTTATTCTTTAAGGATTAGAGAATCTGTGGAGTTACAGAGGAAGGTGGCAAGGTTTTTGCCTGCAGTGCTTAAAGCCAAAGCTTCTCTCATAGAGATAGTTTTATTTTGACTTTCAAGAAATGATCTGATCTTAAAAATGCCTCGTCAGTGTTACATATGAAGAAATAATTGAAGTAACATTGATGAAAATTGCACTGGGAGTAATTAGAGGGGAGGGTCGAGGTCTTTGACTGGAGCAGACAGGGTGGGAGGGATCCAGTGTGGCTGGGCAGGCCCTGCTGGGATAGGGTACGTAGTTTGGGCGGCTCTGGGCAAAGGGACCTCTTAGGTGGCCGCCTGTTGTGCATCTGCTTGTGAGCAGTGCTGTGCTGTGGGGCTTCCAGAACAGCTCACAAATACCTCCGACCCGGCAGAGGGTGGACCCAGAACAATGTGGAGTGAATCAACTGCTCTTTCATTTCACAGGAGGGGCAACTTAGAACAGAATAGAAAATCTTTAAATATGTAAACCTATCTAGATAAATTCACTGTTAAGTGTTGGGTGGTATTTGATGGCACAAATTATGTCTCTGTTTCGTGATGTGTTGATCTGCTGTTTCTGAATTAGATACTTCATGTTGGTGGTTGGATTGTATGCTGCTCACCAAGACCAGTTCTATCTATTGTCTGCCCATATCTCTGAACGGATCATTGTAAGGGTAAGGTTCAGTTCCTTAACGTTTCTGGATCCCATCTGCTTTTCTCCTTTGAAGTAGAATTTGCATTTTTTTTTTTTAATTAAAAAAAATTTTTTTTTGAATTTGCATTTTCAATGGCATGCTGGAAGTGAGCTCTTTCTCAACAGATGATGATGGTAATGGCAGGTATTATTATTTTCATTTTCACATAATGGTTCTCAACCAGGAGAATTTTGTCCCTCAAAGGTCATTTGGCGATGTCTGCAAACATTGTTTGGTTGTCACAATTGGAGGTGCTACCGGCCTCTAGTGGGTCCAGGTCGGGGATGCTGCTCAGTACCTTACAATAAACGAGATAGCCCCCACAGCAAGGATTCCCCCTTCCAAAGTGTCCGTAGTGCTGAAGTTGGGAAACTGGTCCAGGCACTGGGCTGACTAATTTATGTATGACATCATTTTACACTGCGGCACATTTACGTTACCTTCTTCACATGCAGAGGAGCTGAGGCTCAAGAGGGCAGGACAGTTTGTGAATGATGGGGCTCGGGTTCCATCCTAGTTTTCTCTGGTCCTGAAGCCCATGGTGTGGGGAAAGTAGTAAGAAGGCATTTCTTACCCCGAAGTGATTGGTAACCCAGGGAACATCTGGGCCCCTGCCTACCACATAGTAACGGTTCAGCACGTTTTGCTGAATGAATGAGTGGTCACAGCTGTGGACAGGAATCTCGCCAGCCACAGAAACAGAAAGCGGTTGGCAGCTGGAGCTTCAGCTGTGTGTGGCTGGGCTGGCCGCCGCTCAGAATACCAGGGGCCTAAGGTAACAGGTCACCACAGGCCTGGCAGCTGGGGAGGAGCTGGGTCCTGACCCGGGGAGGACATGTGAAGTCCAACAGGAGAAATCATTCAGTACAGCAACTTCTGTGGCCTGGGGACCAGATCTGCCTCTTCGGGGAGATGAGTCTTTCCTTTCTTGCGTTGAGCTATTCCAAAACAGAGGGCCCTCTGTCTAATTCTTTTAATCAATTAAAAATAATAAGCCACTTGTAAGTGGAAATCCTAAAACTGCACCTCTAAGTTTCAGTGGAGGTGAAGTAATGATGGAAATGAGGTAAAACACTTGTGTTTAAATGTCCCAGGTGAGGGCTAGCCTGTGTCCTACCGTTTTTGTGGGACCTGATCTAATCTGTAGCAAACAAGGTGCCACAAACAAGGCAGGTGGGGCCCTCTTCCTTGGTCATGGGCCAAGGGCCGTGGTTCTCCACCCCAGCAGGGCTCAGGGCGGCTTCGACGCCTCGCCTGATGTCATCTGGGATTGCTGTCCTGCACTAACAAATGTGATTTAAAGTAGAGTCTGGAAGCCTGGGTCGCTTATTGTTTCTGGTTTTTCATAGGGAGGAATAAAGACAGACAATACCATTCTTTTCAGAGTTAGCATAGCTTAGATGTTATGAAAGGGCTGCTTGAAGCTGGGAAACTCATGCCTGAGTCAGGCAGCTTGCTAGTCACCTGCGTACCTTGAATAATTTACCTGGTGTCTGGTTTCTCCATTTCCTGCTGGCAACTCTGTTCTCTGGCTGTTGTGAAGTCCACCCAGCAGCAGTACGAGAGAGTGCTATTATCTAATATTCTATTACCAGAATTCTGTTAATTGGTGCCTCCTCCTATCCAAAACGCGATGATAATTTAACTCATGATCGCTTTGAAAAGTTGAGTGTTCCTGCAACTCATATTACGTATGAATACTAAAAAACATTAAATTATACTTAGTATAGATTGGGTGTCATATTATTCACCAAATTTTTATTTTAAAAAAGTAATTGTATTCCAGATTTGATTGCTTTCTTCTAGCCATAACTTTTGGTTAAAGAGAATGCCCTATTCTGGAAGTGTGCTGGGTAACACAGGGGTTGTTCTAGCAACAACGAGAAGAAGGAGAATGGTCATAGTGTGAACCATTCTCCCCATCCCCCAAACTAGAAATATCTTATTGATACTATTTCATTCTAACCCCAAATGCAGAAGTGAAAATGAATGCAGTTTTGAATCTATTTAATTGTTTAACGTTTAAACCAACCAAGAGAAAAAACTGATCTTCAGAAATAGTGATGTTGTTTGAATCAGTGAGTTTTTGAAATGTTCACACAACACATTTCCCGCCCCTAGGATTCTACAGGTGTATGCCTTGGACGTATACCTATGATTGGACAGAGGGCAGACCAGCTCACATTCTCCAAAAAAAGCCAGATGTGCCCTCTTAGGCCATGGCCTGGGTCTGTTAGTTTGAGCTTCAGAATAATGTTATAAGAGCAGACTATATTATATGGAGAACTGCAAATTGCACTGAGCAAATCCAGGTTCATGTTGAGGCCTAAGAATCATTCTTCCCAAGAGCAGAGATTAATGTAAGGGCAAATAATGTAGGAGGCATGGACTAGACTCAGATGAGTTTCCGGCCTCCAGGAAGGCTTCAGAGACCAAGCTTGTCAGAATTCTTCTTGGAGAGAGGATGGTGGGCAAGACCCAGGAATTGTTCATCTGGGTTGTCAATCAGAACAGCTTTAAAAATATATTATGGTCCTGATGTAAATTGACCAATTTCATGGAAATTAATGTTTACTCCAAAGACAGATTTATTTCCCAGGTCTTTTGTTTTTGGAGCATTCTGCCGTGGAGTTCCTTCAGATTCTCCTTGTTAATGACTAGGTTTTCATTCAGCTCCACTTTCCTTCTAAAACACATAATTAAACCTGGTTTGGAGTGCTGTGTTATAAGCAGGAGGGATGATTACTTTTGTCTGCCTTTCAAAGACGTGCCAGGGTTTCCTAGTTTTTGTTTTTGTTTTTAAAGATTTTATTTATTTATTTGGCAGAGAGAGAGACACCGAGAGAGGGAACACAAGCAAGGGGAGTGGGAGAGGGAGAAGCAGGCTTCCCGCTGAGCAGGGAGCCCGATGTGGGACTCGATCCCAGGACCCTGGGATCATGACCTGAGCCGAAGGCAGATGCTTAACGACTGAGCCAACCAGGCACCCCAGGGTTTCCTAGTTTTGAAAATGAATACATTATTCCAGTTTCTTTTCCAGAAGAATAAAAATATGCACGTCCCCAGGAAATGCCCCCTTATTGCTCTGCAAACTGCACTGTCCTAAGATGAGAAACCAACAAACAGGGGCGGGGAAAACAAAAGAAATAATGCGACTGCAAGGAATGGTGAGGGATGGGTGCAGAACAGAGCCGTCCCAGGGCCTGGCTCCGTTGTTACCAGCTCTCGCCCTTTTCTACAAAAGTCCCTTCCTCCCCTAACATACACACACACACACACACACACACACACACACGCACACACACACACACACACACACACACACCCCTCTTCTGGAGTTCAGATGAATTTTTATTTACCCACAGGAATCAGTATGTGGAGCAATGTCCGTTTCACCCCGTGGTTGGGATTCAACTTTGGTTAACTCTGGAAGGGGTAACCGACCAGGACTGTATGGGACAAAGAATCCCCCGGAGAGTAAAACAGAGATACCTGGGTCCCCCACTCCACAATTTCTGATTCAATAGGTTGAATATACATTTCTAACAAGTTTCCAGGAGAGGGTGCTGACCTTCAGACCACACTTCGAGTAGCACTGATAGGGAGCATTTCTGGTCCCATTTTCCACAGCCCTTTCAAAAGGAACAAAAATTTATTTGTTATGATGTGACTTCTTCAACTGAAGCTTTCCTAATATGCTCTTTGGCTGTTGCCTTAAAAGCCCAAACAATGGTAAAGCAAAGAAATTCCAGCTTTCCATTCCGACCTTAGAACGGCCTCAAGTGACCATTAATTGCTGTTTCCTATTCCAAGCACCTGCAGAGGGCGCCATTTACACTTTACTCGGGGAGTAGCGCGCCCTCACAGAATTTTGCAGCTCTGCAGGTGTGTTGCTGAGGAGAGCAGATTAAAGCATTACAGGCAGGTTCGGTTCCAGACCACGGCAATAAAGCGAGTCAAATGAAGGTTTTTGTTTCCCAGTGCACATGAAAGTTACGTTTACACTATGCTATAGTCTATTAAGTGAATAATAGCATTATGTCTTAAAAAACAATGTACATACCTTAATCAAAACATATTGCTAAAGAATGCTAACTATAATCTGAACTTTCAGAGAGTAATGCAATCTTTTAGAGATGGTGGAGGGTCCTGCCTCAGTGTTGATGGATTGAGGGGGTGGCTGCTGAAGGTTGGGGTGGCTGTGGCCATTTCTTAAAGTAAGACAACAGTGAGGGGCACCTGAGCGGCTCAGTCAGTTAAGCGTCTGCCTTCGGCTCAGGTCATGATCCCAGCGTACTGGGATTGAGCCCCGTGTGGGGCTCCCTGCTCAGCGGAGAGCCTGTTTCTCCCTCTCCCTCTGCTGCTCCCCCTGCTTGTGTTCTCTCTCTGTCAAATAAATAAATAAAATCTTAAAAAAAAAAAAAAAAGACAACAGTGAAGTTTGCCACATCAGTTGACTCTTCCTTTTAGGAATTTTTTTATTTTTATTATTTTTTTTATAGCATGGGATGCTGTTTTATAGCATTTTACCCACAGTAGAACTTCTTCCAAAATTGGAGTCAGTCCTCTGAAACCCTGACAGTGTTTCATCAACTAAGTTGATGTCATATTCTAAATCCTTTGCTGTCACTGCAACAGTCTTCACAGTAGCTTTAACAGGAATACATTCCATTTCAAGAAACCACTTCTTTGCTCATCTGTAAGAAGCAACTCCTCATCCATGAAAGTTTGAATGTAAGATGGCAGGAGTTCAGTCCCATCTTCAGGCTCCACTTCTGATTCTAGTTCTCTTCCTATTTCCACCACATCTGCAGTTCCTCTCTCTGCTAAAGACTTGAACCCCTCAAAGACCTCCATGAGGGTTGGAATCAACTTCTTCCAAACTCCTGTTAATGTGGACATTTCCACCTTTTCCCATGAATCAGGAATGTTCTTGATGACATCTAGAATGGTGAATCCCTTACAGGTTTTCAACTTACTTTGCCCAGATCCATCAGAGAAATCACTATCTATGACAGTATAGCCTTATGAAATATATTTCTTAAATAATAAGGCTTGAAAGTCAAAATGACTCCTTGGTCCACAGGCTGTAGAACAGACGTTGTGTGAGCAGGCATGAAAACAACACTAATCGCATTGTACAGCTCCATCAGAGCTCTTGGGTGACCAGGTGCATTATCGATGAGCAGTCATATATATATTTTAAGATGCAGGATGCTTTTTTATTTTAAGATTTATTTGAGAGAGACAGAGCGAGGGGAGGAGGGGCAGAGGGAGAGGGACAGAGAGAATCTCGAGCAGACTCTCCTCTGAGCATGGAGCTCAATCTCACAACCCTGAGATCATGTCCTGACCCAAATCAAGAGTCGGACGCTTAACTGACTGAGCCACCCAGGCGCTCTGAGCAGTCATATTTTGAAAGAAATCTTTTCTGAGTGGCAAGTCTCAACAGTGGGCTTTAAACATTGAGTAAACCATGTTGTAAATGGTTATGCTGTCATCTAGGTTTTGTTGCATTTATTGAGCACAGGCAGAGTAGATTTAGCATAAATTCTTAAGGGCCTGAGGCTTTTCAGAATGGTCCATGAACACAGGCTTCAACTTAGAGTCAGCCTGTCCTTTGAAGCTTTGGAGCCAGGCATTGACTTCTCTCTAGGTATGAAAGTTCTAGATGGCCTCTTCTTCCAATAGAGGGCTGTTTCATCTACATTGAAAATCTGTCATTTAGGGCGCCTGGGTGGCTCAGTTAAGCATCCAACTCTTGATTTTGGCTCAGGTCTTGATATCTCTCTCTCTTGCTCTCTCAAATAAATAAATAAAATCATTTTTAAAAAAATCTGTTGTTTAGTGCAGCCGTGAATGATCTAGAGCTTCTGGATCACTTGCTGCAACTTCTACACCAGCCCTTGTTGCTTCACCTTGCACTTTTGTGTTATACATATGACTTCTTTCCTTAAAGCTCATGAACCAGCCTCTGCTAGCTTCAGACTTTTCTTCTGCAACTCCCTCACCTCTCAGCCTTCATGGAATCGAAGAGAGTGAGGGCCCTGCTCTGGATAAGGCTCTGGCTTAAGGCAATGTTCTGGTTGGTTTGATCTATCCAGGCCACTCAAACGTTCTCCACATCAGCAGGAAGGCTGTGTCACTTTCCTATCATTTGTGTGTTTGCTGGAGCAGCACTTTTAATGTCCTTTGCATTCACAACTTGGCTGTCTGGCACAAGAGGCCCAGCTTCCGGCCTATCTCGGCTTTCAACATGCCTTTCTCACTAAGCTTAATCATTTCTAGCCCTTGATTTAAAGTGAGAAGCATGAGTCTTTTCCTTTCACTTCAATACTTAGATGCCACTGTAAGGTTGTTAATTGGCTTAATTTTAATAATGTTGATCTCAAGGAATAGTGAGGCCCGAGGAGAGGGAGAGAGGTGGGGAAATGGCTCGGTGGTGGAACAGTGAGAATAATACACAGACCATTTATTGATGAAGTTTTGCCATCTCATATGAGCATGGTTTGTGGCTCTGCAAATTACGATAGTAGCATCAAAGATCACTGATCACAGATTACCACAACAAATGTAATAATAACGAAAAAGTTTGAAATACTGCAAGAATTACCAAATTGTGGCAGAGACATGAAATGAGCAGATGCTATGGCGATGGTGCAGACAGACTTGCTCGATGAAGGCTTGCTACAGACCTGCAATTTGTAAAAAAAAAAAAAAAAAAAAGCATCATCTGTGAAGTGCAGTAAAGCAAAGCTTAATAAAAGGATGTATGCCCGTATAGGCTGGACAGTTGTTGCTATGCACAGCAATGTGTTAACGATAACTTGAGACTATTCGTCCTCATTTTTGCCAAGTATTCATATACACGTGATTTCAACAAATTCCCACAACACTGTGAGATAGGTAAAGAAGTCATTATTATCTTTAAGCTTCAAAGAAAAAGAGCTGGCACAGAAAGGTTAAGTGACTGCCCCAAGATCACAGAGCCAGCTTGCGTCGTAACACAGATTAAAACGTTCAGGTCTTCCCTAAATATATGGGGCTGTGGGATAAATAATGAAAGTATTTTATTCATTTTGGGATTTGATATGATTGAACCACTCTTGGACCACATGGGAACACAGCTTCATAATTCCAGAAAGAGGTAGTACATTACAGTTTGCTTTGACCCATTAAGATTGTGGATACCAGAGAAGGGAAAAAAATTCACAGACTTTATAACATTTCCCATTACTGATGAGGAGGACTCCTCCGTAGGTCTATATATTTAGAAAATTGCAGATCTGTGGCCCTTCCCAAAATGACTTGAACATATTTTAGGGATCTGAGTTTTCATCTGATGAAAGCTAAGTGAGATTGTTACAATTGTTCTAAAAAATTAAGTCTGCTTATATCCGCTGTTCCAACATGATATCAAGTTTATGGTAATAATTATCCCAGAACTCATTAAGAAAAAATAAATCCATCACTGTCTATTTTGTTTCCTTGAAGTGGCTCATTATGTTCAGAGTAGAGCAAAATGCATCAACATTTATATGATATACCTTTGGATTTAGTTGATTCCTTGCAATAAAAGGATTTGAGTCAAAACCAATTTGCCATTCACGACCAAGGGGGCTCTGGGGACCTTGTAGCAAGCACTTTGTTTAAGTGAATTCACACAAAATAATGTTCAAAGTTGTTATTTTCTATTCGTTTACTGCTTTTGTCTATCAAATGTCAATGGTTGAGTCTTCCAAGCAGCTCAGGGTTCAAAAAGGCGAGAATGAAAAAGTTGAAGACAGCTAAAAGTTCTTTCACTGAACCCAAGCTAAGAACTAAATTTTGCGGGTTTTTTTAAATTATTATTTTTAACTGGGTAGCACATACTTATGGTAAAAAACATTCAAACAATACCAAGAGCATGTATGTTGAGCAGTGAATCTCCTTCCCAGCCCAGTTTCTGCATCTCTCAGTTCCTGTCCTTGAAGAAGCCATTGTTATTGGTGTCTTGAGTATTCTCCAGAGATAATCTATGCATATTCAGGTCCTGAGTTTGCAATGTCTCCTGCACTGCCCAGAAAGGCAGAGAGTGAAGACACTACATTATGTGTTGACTTTTTGGATGATCAGGGTCTAAACTGTTTGTCTGAATTTGTGACAACTTGCCTCAAACACACAAAAATCAGATTTAGAACAATAGGTCATAATTTTAAAAACAAATTAATTTTGTTGTAAGGATTTGGAGGGATTCAGAGATCCTTACTTAAAGATATTTGGAAATATATTCAGCCACAGGAGGTGGGGAGGAGGGAAGACAGTAGAGTGAAAAATTCTTCAGCAAAGAATTTTATTTAAGAGTAAAATCTCCAGAACTTTGTCTGGTTCTCATAATTTCACTTGGGTTCTGTTTGAAGACTGCATTTGGCCAGGGTTCCTTTTTTTTTTTTTTTAATTTTATTTATTTATTTGAGAGAGAGCAAGCATAAGCAGGGGGAGGGACAGATGGAGAGAGAGAGAAGCAGACTCCCTGTTGAGCAGGGAGCCAGACTTGGGGCTCAATATGAGGACCCTGGGATCATGATCTGAGCTGAAGGCAGACGCTTAACCGACTGAGCCACCCAGGCACCCCCGGCCAGGGTTACTTTTAATAGGAAAAGTTAGAATCATTATTTAATCATTAAAGGAAGTGTAAGTCCAGCTCCAGAATTTACTAGTTTGTGTCCTTGGGCAATTTGTTTATCCTTTTGGAGGCTTCTGGATATCTATAAAATGAGGCTAAGAGTACATATCTCATAGAATGGGGGAGTGGACTAGCTCACAACAAATGTAGCTGTTGTTATTCTTCCTTCAGTGTCATCTGTGTTTAGGGAATAGTTGAGGTGTATTAAATATATTTGTGCTGTCGTTTGCTTGTCAATTGCATGTGAAATCATAAACACTAAAGTGTTTTGAAACTCTAAAAGGGCTAGCCAAATGCAAAGCATTTTTATGTATCTGGGCTTTCGTAAGCTTAGAATGTCTTCTGATGTAAGGTTCTGGTTTTAAATCATTACTCTTATCCCTGAAAAAAAGGTCATTTTGATTTTCCTTCTTCCTTATCATCCACTCAGTATAACTGACACATTCTCATTTCCAGATAGTTGCCATAGAGCCCGGACGTCCCAAACCATTGCACACTGAGCTCCTGCTCATGGGGAGCAGAGCAGTTAGGGGAACCCTCCTGGCTCAGCCTGGGGCCACAGTTATTTGGATATGTCAGAATGTCCCATCCGATTCTCAGGTGAAAGACTTAGATGACATTCTGTCTTCCTTTGCTCTGAGGAATAAAGCAATCATCTATTCCTGCTACTATAACTTTAATTGTAACATATTTATGTATTTTTTTCCAGGCCTCTAACCCTGGGCAGTTTGAAAATGACAGTGATGCATTATGGCAGCGAGGGCAAGCTCCAGAATCCGTTGTTTGTCATGGTCGAGTGGGAATAAATACAGATGCCCCGGATGAAGCCCTGGTCGTCTGTGGCAACATGAAAGTGATGGGGACCATTATGCATCCCTCTGACAGCCGAGCAAAGCAGAACATCCAGGAGGTGAGCATGGGGCAGGCCTTGGGCACCTCCTCTGACACCTGAGTCAGGTGTGCTGGGTGCTCCTGGACGCTGACACGCCTTGCAAAGGGCATCTCTACATGTCTCCTGTTGGTGTAAGACGAACCCAGTGCTTAACAGTCGTGGGTGTGGGAGCCGACAGACATCTCTGCTGAGACTGTAATGTGTTTCCTACCCGGGAGAGTGGATTTACGTGACAGGAACGGTGGGCAATGACAGCACGGCGCTGGCTTCACAAGCAGAAAATCTCTGAGTTGCCGGCCACGGGCCACTGCCCTTCCTTGCACGCATCGTCAGCTGCTGGAGCTTGCCTTTTCCTTCGCCATCTCCAGACATCCCTCTCCCTGTTCATCTTCCAGGCGCTGTCCCAGTCCGGGTCCTGCCCGTATTTCTCCTGAGCCTCCCAGCCTCTTCCTCCCAAACCCCCTGCCAGCCGTCATCTTCCCACTCATCATCTTTCTCTGAGGAGCAGTTAGAGGAGCACCTCCTCTCCCTCTTCCCTCCAGCTAGGTCAATCCCATCGCCTAAGGCTCCAGGCCAAGGCCCTCTCCTATCTGTGGAGAGTTAGTCCCCGAGTGGAAATCAGAAATCAGGCCTGGAAGTCAGGAGGTGCTTCTCCACTTCGGGCTCATCCCAGCAACATGGCCCTAGATAAGACAACTCCGCCCAAACCCACTGCCTTCATCTAGAAGGTGGAAAAGGTGCCTCTCTGCTCGATCCTACCAAGTCTTTTATAGTTTTTAACCCATTGAGATAAGAATCATCTTGGAAAGTCACAACTGCTGTGAAGACCTAAGAGATTAGGATTAAGATGCTTATCCCTTAGCCAGACCATGCTCAGTTCTAGCTCCTCCACCATTTAATTCTGTTTCTCATTCACTGCTTCTACCGTTTCCCCACCTTCTCATGCACCCTGCTTCTCCTATAAGCATGTTTGAGGCTGTGGCAGAATTGTGTTTTTGAACCTCCTTTACTTAGTCTTTGTTAGTTAATAGGAGACGTAATCTGTAAATCATTGGCCATTCTTCCGGACTGCATTCCTTACCCAGTGCAAATGTGCACTGGTTTTTTCTAAACCGGCCAAAGCATGTCCTCCTTTGCTGAGTGGATTCCAAAGAATGGTTGTAATTGTAGACTTTTATGCTGATTGCAAAGCTGTGGTTCGTGTTAGAAGAGCTGTGACCTACTGCCAGATGGGAACTCTTAGGGCTAGAAAGTTCTCACATACATTTCCCAATCCCAGTCCTAGATATTGTGCTTTTGACTTTTAGAGAGAGATAAACTGTCTGCGTGTCAGATCACACCAACTCAAACTTATTTTTGCAACTGGCTGTACAATTCCCTACCAGATCTTATCTGAATGCAAATGGAAGGTGACAAGTCGGAAGAGTCCTCTACAACCCCTCCTGCTACCACCAGGCTACCACCCAGAATTCACTTACCAAATGTCTTAGTTTGAAGAAAACTTACTGTCTTAAAATAACAAGCTTCCCTAGAACTTCTCAAACCTCTTCTAGGCAGCCTTCTCAGATAAATCAAATGTCACCCCAATCCAGGCTCTAAATGTGGAATTCCTGTATCCCCATCCTGCTTTGTGGCAATATGATGGGATAAAGAGAAGCCCAATTTCTGGTGGAAGGCCAGGGTTTTAGTCTGATTCAGGCAACCGCTGGCCCAGGAACCTTGGCACAGACATGTTCCATGCCTCTGTTTATTCTCCTGTGAACAGGGAAAGCTCATATTCAACTCACTTGTGTTAAGCATGTCTTCTCAGCTCACATACATGAAACGCTCTTTAGCTGTACAAATACGTATTATCATTATTTACTTGTAAAAGATGCAAATTATATGTAATTCACTTATTAAATTATTTCATATTAATAAATTTGTTCTTAATAGGTCTATCCACATTTATGAAATGTAGGTTTCTAGAAATCTTATCCTAGAGGCCATTTTTAGGCACACAGGCTTGAATGATGGAATGCAGCGAGGGCCCAGAGCGCCCCCCTGGCTGAGTACAGACAGGCCCCCTCAGGCGACCCTCCTCAAAATACCCACAGGCTCTCACTGACCAATGGGCTACTTACAACCAGGCACAGTTACCAGAGAAGGGAAGATTCCAGACGTTGCCATACCTCCTCACCTTGCCCTTTAAATACGGCCCCCTCCCACTGCCTCGTGGCAGATGGCCTCTCCCTCCCGGTCCTGCCCACAGCTCCCTTGTGGTGTATTCGGTAAACTTCTACCTCCTTTGTTCTGCTTTGGAGGAACCCTTTCACTGTCCATGCTGCTAGCTTCCACTCAGTTGGGTCGCCCCACCTTTGGGGGCCCCCTTCCGATCAGGAGAGACACCACACCTGTCAGTCCTATTCACCATTGCAGACAAGAGAGATGATGGTAGTGATGATGGGGCTGACAGATCTGTGAACTTCATCTTCACCTCCCCCTGACTCAGTTTTTCCAACTTTTAGAAATAGCCCTTCCACTCTGAGACGTGGCCCCTTGGTTGATCTGATTACAAGCATGGGACAGGAGGCTATTTCTCATTCTTTAAGGAGGCATGGTAACCAGAGCTGGCTTCCGGATGAGCTATTGCAAAACCCAGCAGCCAAACAGTTGCCCAGGGCAGCCATGGGGGAAAATGCATGTAGGTTGCTGCCTTGCCCTGGCTCTGGGCCTCCTCACTCAGGGCAACGGAGGTTGTTTTGTGGGGAGTAAGCACAGAGCACTCTGGTGGAGCTCTCTGTGCTCATCTGGACACATATCCAAGCCACAGACGATAGAGCAGATGGATGGAAACCTGTGAGGCCGAAGCACAGGGGAAACGAAGTTGGCCTAAGTGAGGGGCAGCCTCACTCCCCCAGACACTGTGTTTACTGATGGACTATAGACGGTAGAAGAAAATGCAGCTCTTGCAATGGAAATAGCGAAATTGGGGTGGAACTGATAGGCTAAAAAACAAAGGAGTGTGAAAAACGTCAAGGTCAATGCAAAACAAGTGAGGAAGTTGAGAGTTGAGCACCATCAGTCAGATTCTGTGATGAGGGCTGAAAACAAGGCTACAAAAGATTCAAAAATAAAAGCCGGGAAAGAAATCAGTTAGGATGAAATGCTCAAAGATCGTTTTCCCCAACTGCATCCACAGTGTGGTAAAGACAAAAGTGTAGAGTTCAAGAAAGTCAAACATGCAAAGTCTCCCCTCGAGGCCATGAGCCAAATGCAGACGTTCTTGAGCTTGAGGTGGTGAGCCAGTGTTACTCAGGCTGCTCCTGACGGGAGCCTGCTAGTCTAGGCTGTGGCCGGATGATGGATAACGGGATCTCCCTCCCTGAACCCAAACTGGAGTCCCAGAGACAAGAATGCCTTTTCTGTGGTGCAGTTCTTGAAGTAATGTTAGAGAAGCCTTGGGTATGAAGCCACTAGACAATGACGGCCGTTTGCATCAGGGTCAAAACTTTCCAAAACTGCCATGCACAAAATCAGATCAGACACCTGAATTCAGCTTTAGCTTCTTGCTCAATGCACGTTGATGAGCAAGGTGTGGTGTTAAGTCTGACCAGTGTTTGGTTCCTGGGGCAGGATTCCGAGAAGGCACAGCCCTTGCCTCGAGGGCTTTCCCTAGGCCAAGGGTACGTATTGGGAATGCACAGTACAGCCGCTGATATTTAGCTTGGGAAAGTCTACAACCCTGCATTAGAAACCAGAAGAGCATTTTCTTACAGAAACGTTGTTATAGAAGGTGTTTCGATCCCCAAACCAACCCTCAAAGTTTTCTTCAGCCAAAAATCTATCTGAAGCACAATGATGATAATACTGTAGAACTCCATCACTCTGTCCAGCAGTATGTCTTCAGGGAAGATCTGTTAAAGGAGTCAGCTTAGTCACCCGGGGTCATGTTCCCTCTATGTGGCCTGGACAGCCTGAGTGAGGGCACAGCCTCGTCTGCTTTCTGTTGGCAGCAAAGGTCCCCCGTGAAGGCTCATGCAGGAACCAAGGGGAGAATGAAGAGTAGGCGAAGCAGGCACAGGACCCCCTGGGTGTGGGGAATGGGGAACTGAGTAGGGCCTGGCTGGTGCAAGGCCAGTCCAGGCTGGCTCCTGACTGACCCCGCTGTCTTCCCTTTTGTTAGTGTCAGGAACTGTCGGGCCATTTTACTCCCTTCATTCTCTCATTCCAGCTTCTTCCATTGAAGGGTTTGGGTGCGGTTACAGATCAGGCACACGGCTAGGCACTGCAGAGGTCCTGAGATGAACTGGCTGTGGGTCTTACCCTCAAAAATAGAACTTTTTAAAAAATTAAAACTCGGGCGCCTGGGTGGCTCAGTCGTTAAGCGTCTGCCTTCGGCTCAGGTCATGATCCCAGGGTCCTGGGATCGAGCCCCACATCGGGCTCCCTGCTTGGCGGGAAGCCTGCTTCTCCCTCTCCCATTCCCCTGCTTGTGTTGCCTGTCTCGCTGTCTCTCTCTCTGTCAAATAAATAAATAAAATCTTTAAAAAATCGGGGCGCCTGGGTGGCTCAGTCGTTAAGCGTCTGCCTTCGGCTCAGGTCATGATCCCAGGGTCCTGGGATCGAGCCCCACATCGGGCTCCCTGCTTGGCGGGAAGCCTGCTTCTCCCTCTCCCACATCCCCTGCTTGTGTTCCTGCTCTCGCTATCTCTCTCTCTGTCAAATAAATAAATAAAATCTTTAGAAAAAAAATAATAAAAATAAAAATAAAAAAATAAAAAAATAAAAAATTAAAACTCCAAGTCGGAAATACTCACTGAATCTCCAATGCCTGGGATAACACATCTGGCACACAGTAGCTGTTCGTTAAGTATTTGTTGAATGACTTGTCCCTCTCCCAGGCCCCTCTGGCCCTCCCCCTGCACACACACACTCTCTCATTCAAATAAATAAATAAATAAATAAGATCTTTAAAAAAAAAATAAGTATTTGTTGAATGCATGAAGGAGCTCACAGTGTTAGATGTGTGACTGCTCCTTCCTAGCATGGCCTGCAAGGCCCTCCCTGCTCTGACCTTAATCTTTACAGTGTAGTAATGCCCACCTCTGCCCTGGTTGTGCAGACATCATTCAGGGGACTTAGTCCCTTGGGACTCCACTCATGGTATTCTTTCTGCCCGGCATCCCTGTCTTGGTCTCACCCTTTCCATCCCTTCTCCCTACCTTGCCTCTTTCCCTGGCTAAGTCCTATCTTAAATTCATTTTTATTAGATTTATTTATCAAATTATTAGTTTATTTAACAAATGTTAGTTGAGCATCAACTACATGCAAGGAATTATACTGGAAACTGGTAATGTGGTGGTGAACAGAAAACCATGGCCTTAAATATGTCTCCGCCCTCATGGGGTAGTATCCTATAGGTAAGACGGGTAATAAAGGGGACACAGCTAGCAGCCTGGTGATAACTTTGATGGTCGCTATGGAGGAAAATAACAGCTCCCATTAGCACATAAGGCAAAGGGACCCTTCCTAGTGTTGGAAATCAAGAAGTGCTTCCCTGGTGAAGGGATGTTTACGTTGCGGCAGGAGAAGGTAGGAGTGGGAAGGAAGAGCTTTTGAGGCAGGGAAAATGCCCTGAGCCAAAGGCCAGGGTGAAAAGAGCCAGAGTTTGTTTGAGAACCAAAATAAGCCAAGATCTCCGTGGGGCTTCACCATTTCTAGGAAGCCTTCCTTTATGCTCCCCTAGGAATATTTTAGGGACCTCCTTGGAGCTGCCATAATTCTCTATTCATAAGTCCGTTATCACTCTGCATTTCTCACATTGTAGTGGAATCATATGTGATGAGTCTGCCTTCCTATCTAGACGACAAACTTTTTTTTTAATGTTCATTTAATAAGTCTAAATTTTAGGAAACTTGGAATGTGTAATCCCATAGAAAAAGTATGACACAAGGTCAAGACAATCAGAAAACCTATGAATTTATTTATTTTTATTTTATTTTTAAAATTTCTTAATTTTTATTTTGCTTATTTATTTCTTATTTGAGTACAGTTAACACACAATGTTACATTAGTTTCAGGTGCACAACATAGTGATTCAGTAACTCTCTAGGTTATGCTGTGTCCATCACAAGTGTAGTCACTGTACAATGCTGTTACAACTCCACTGACTATATTTCCTATGCCGCACCTTTTCTTCCCATGACTTCATTTCATAACTGGAAGCCTGTATCTCCCACTTCCCTTCACCCATTTTGCCCATCCCCCACCTCCTCCCCTCTGGCCACCATCAGTTTGTTCTCTGTATTTATAGGCTTGACTCTGCTTTTTGTTTGTTTATTCATTTGTTTTGTTTTTTGGATTCCACATATAAGTAAAATCATATGGTATTTATCTTTCTCTGTCTGACTTATTTCATTTAGCCTGATACCCTCTAGGTCCATCCATGTTGTCACAAAAAGCAACGTCTCACCATTTTTAATGGCTGAGTAACATTCCATTGTATGAATATACTACATCTTCTTTATCCCTTCATCTATGTGGTTGAACACTTGGTTGCTTCTATATCTTGGCTTTTGTAAATAATGCTACAATAAGTATAGGGTGCATATATCTTTTTGAATTAGTGTTTTCATTTTCTTTGAGTACCCAGTAGTGGAATTATTGGATCATATGGTATTTCTATTTTTAACTTCTTGAGGAAACTCCATATTGTTTTTCACGATGGCTGTACCAATTTATAGTCCCACGAACAGTGCATGAGGATTCCTTTTTCTCCACATTTGCACCGACACTTGCTATTTCTTGTCTTCTTGATTCTAGCCATTCAGTAAGGTGATATGTCACTGTGGTTTTGATTTCCATTTCCCTGTTGATTAGTGACATTGAGCGTCTTTTCATGTGTCTGTTGGCTATCCAGATATCTTCTTTGGGAAAATGTCTATTCAGGTCCTCTGCCCATTTTTAATCAGACTCTTTGTTTTTTGGTGTTCATTTGTATAACTTCTCTATATATTTTGGATATTAATCCCTTATCAGATATATCATTTGCAAATATCTTCTCCCATTTAGTAGGTTGCCTTTTTGTTTTGTTGATGGTTTCCTTTGCTGTCCTAAAGCTTTATATTTTGATATAGTCCCAATAGTTTATTTTTGCTTTTGTTTCCCTTGCCGTAGGAGACATATCTAGGAAAATGTTGCTATGGCTGATGTCAGAGAAATTACTACCTATGTTCTCTTCTAGAAGCTTTATGGTTTCAGGTCTCACAATTAGTAGAGCACAAACTTTTAAAAGGTCATCATTTTTTAAAGTGACAACACTTAGTGTAGTGCATTGTATGTTGAAGGTGATTGGTAGATGTTAGTTGAATAAAATAATGAATGAATGAATTAACCAAGCTTTTGATAATTGCAGGTATCAAAATAACAGTGAGCTCAAAATCATACTTCCCAAGAAGAACCTAAAGTAAATTTTTCCCATTTAGCCAGTTAAGTGTCAAGCCACCACCTTTTACAATCAGCCAAACTAGTGAAGGACAGGGAGCTTTTAATGATGGAGGAGCTTTCCCACTCACCCAACAGAGTGGGTCAAGGGAGGAGTTGAGGGCCGTGTCAGGGGTTTTCATATAACAAGAAAAACGAAGCACTTTTGGTTACTCTAACACATGGATGAATGTCCAGGCAGTATAATTTTAATTGCCAAGAGACTACTGGTTTTGTAATCATTATATCCTAAAAGAAAATTATATCCTAAAAGAAAAAGGGCTGCTAGCATTTTACTTATAGAATAAGGTCATTTAAAAAATAGGTTCTGCTAGTACCATGAATTCATTAAAAAAAAAAACAAAACAACAACAACAAAAAACCTCAAAAGAGAATTCTTTGAATCATACCCATTTGACTTTAGGAAAAATTCACTCTATTGTCTTTGTTGTCATTTTGCTGGGACCTGGTGACATTATTTTGAGGAATTTGCAGTGAGAGCTGGGAATACCTTTAGTAACCTATGAGAGCAGTGAACTCAGAGAAGCATACCATCACTGACCAGAGTGGTTTGGGGGAGAAGCCATCTGTAGGAGAGGAAAGTCTGGATCCTAGGAGGCCTTTGCTACCTGCCACTTGAGGAAATTTTCTCCAGCAAGGTGTCCAAAAGGAATTCAATGATATAGGATAGTTCCATTCTTTAAAGGTTTTTTTTACTTTTACTAAACCATTTCAATTTGTAAATACAAGGTTGGCCTATATTTATTTGGTGTTTATACCATATGTTCATTTGGAAATGATCCCTTGCACTCATGAATAGCAATTGTTTCTCTCCAAAGCGATCAGTCTCCATTCTCAGAAGGAGAGTTTGCCTCTCAGAGGAGAGAAAAGAAGGGCAAGAGTAGTGAATGAGGGAGCTTTCACTCTGTAATTTAGATATAAAAACTCTGTCTCAATTTGTCCGTGAATGGAAGTCACTGATATGGACCTTGAAGCTTGGGTTTCTCTGAGGAGAAAAACAAATTTCTCTTAAAATAGTTTGGGCAAGAGGAAAGAACAGTCCCATTGTCAACACTCCTAATTTCTCTAGGTCCCTTTGGGCATTGATTTGAATAGGAAATCATCTAAGTGGCTGAAATCTGCTCTTCTTTCATTAAATTAGGTTGACACAAATGAACAGCTAAGACGAATAGCCCAAATGAGGATCGTTGAGTATGACTACAAACCTGAATTCGCATCTTCAATGGGAATAAACACTTCCCATCAAACAGGTATGCACACAAATTCCCTTTTTAATTTTGTGTTGTCAACTCTTAAAAGTTTAACTCCCTCTTTATCTGGAGGTTGTGTGCTATGGCATTGATTTTCTCTGTGAAATCCACACTCACTCGAGTGGGAAAGGTCAGAGAAATGTCTGTGTCATCTTTACTCGACACCCTCCCCCCCACTCCTGCACCCCCATGGTACTGGTGGAATATTTTGAATACATAGTTTCTTTTCATGGGAACCATCTTGCTCATGCAATGCGGGCTCAGGGGTAGATGGCAGCTCCAACTGTAAGAGGGGCAGCACTGGGCTGACCTGGGAGAGGGGAGGTGGCAGAGTAGGTGGGTCTAGGTCAGAGAAGGGGCAAAGAGGTGTTGATACCCCCACCCAGGAATCCTAAAGAAACAGGGGCCATTTAGGTGGCAAATCCTCCTGCAGGAAAAGAGGAGATCAAGCTAATGTCCCACTTTTACTTCTATACACAGGGATTTTAAGGTATTTGCCCACTCCTCCCAACATTCGGCCCAGAGTCTCAAGGAAAAGTGAGGAAAATGATACCCCTGCTTTTAATCCTATAGTGATTATGGGCTCAAAATTCCTTCTTTGCTTCAAACGTATCATAGATCAAAGCAAAAGCTGAAAAGGGGTAATAAGCATCTATTTGCAAAGATGTCCCGGGAGGCTGTCAGCAGTCCATTTTGATGTAGGCCTAGGAGGATTTTCTCCAGAAAGCTGTTTTCCTGACTAAACGACTTGGAGTGTTTGGGTCTAGGGATGATTGCCCAGGAGGTACGAGAGATCCTGCCTCGAGCTGTCAGAGAGGTTGGTGATGTCACCTGTGAAAATGGAGAGACGCTGCCCAACTTCCTCATGGTCGATAAGGTAACTACAGAATCAATCTGCCTCTGGAGTGACAACCCCACAGGGGACCCCTTTTCTGTGGCCTCGAAATGCACTGAAACATCCAACCAGGAAACAAGAAAGCTTCGCTGAGCTGTGCGGTAATTGGTATCAGCCATGGCACCTTGGGCATAAGTACCAAAAACAAGCCCCCTATGGGAAAAAGAAAAAGGAGTATGTAACAGTGACAGGAGAGGTCAGCGGGCCTTAATGTTGGAGGAAGACTGGCCCGGGTAAAGTCCACGTACCAGGAGTGCACCTAAAACGAGGCCCTGGCGTCATGTGAAATAGTGACAACAAGCTGTGATCAGATTTGTCTTAAAAAATGGAACTAGAACTTCTGAGAGTGTAGTTTATCTCACAGAATACAATTTAGGTTAGCATGAAAATAGAATGATGGAATTCGTAGAATGACTGAAGGTGGAATGAAGTGTTGATTTTTTTTTTTTTTTTATTCTTATGTTAATCCCCATACATTACATCATTAGTTCTAGATGAATGATTTTTTTTGCGAGCACAGTTTCTCAACAAAGTTGTATGTTCTACTTTCATAGCACAATCATAAAGTGGGTCAGTTTTGCAAAGGTATTCATGAGCCTTGTCATTTTTCCCAAGGGACTGTCCTAATTCTTTGATATTCAAATCATTCTCTTTTGAAGGAATGTCCCTGTCTTTGTAGCTGAGCTCCCCTTTGCAAGGTAAAGGGGTCTCAGTGTGCCATTCCCTTGCTTGCTTTGTGTGTGTGACTTGAGTCGGTCTCCGAGATCGTGTTTATTAATTCTGTGAAAGCCTGCGTCGTGGCAAGGTTTGCAGACTCACCCCGCTGCTGATCTGTTGTACATTGCCCTGCTCTGTTTGATGCTGGCGGGAAAACCGATTGACATGAGGATATTGTAGTCGTAGGGACAGATGTCTGAGTGGAGACTAATTTGTAATTTGTCAGTTCACGGGGGCAGTGCTTCTCCAACTTCAAGGTGTACATGAATCAGTGGAGGAACTTGCTAAAATACAGGCGGATGCAGCAGGAACGGGGTGAGACCCAAGAGCGTGCATTTTTAACCAGCCTCCAGGTGGTGCCAATTTTGCTGATCTTGCTGGTAAGCAAGCCACACGGAGCAGCAAGGTGGAGGGTCCCTTTCCCTGTTGGGCCCTTCCTCAGTCTTCTTCCTCTGGGCTCTTGGGCAACAAATACTTAGCTGATGGGGTGTGGATGGCCTGCTCTGCCCTGGGCCGCAGGGTAGAGTGCCAGACGTGTGGTTACTTCCTCCTGCTTCCCACACCCGTCTTGAGTAGAAGCAGCTCTTTGGTCTCAGACCTGGGCTATCACTTCCCGTGAGAGGTGTATCATGAGAAATCTATTTTTAATAATAAAGTAGTGAAGTTTTCCCATTATTTACTCAAAATATAAGATAAGAGATACTCCAAGGTATTCGTGTCATAAGGTCACCCCGACTCTCTCGCATTTTCAGAAGCTTCCTGGGTGAGAGAAAACTGTGAAGGCACAGCTGTCTGGCTCAGGGTGCAGCCCTGGGAGTGTGCCATTAGGCTGTCAAGGTGGGGCTCTTGGGGTTACTCATTTGGTGGCAGCCATGTCACTCCTGACTGTGGCCCTCCCCTAGAACACCCCAGAAAGAGATGTCTGCGATTTCTGTGTAGGTAACATCTGCCCAGGGCCTTACGATTATCACTCTGTAGGAGAATAATTAGTTTTCCCCTGGCCCACTATCAAACTTAAGTTGAATGAGGATAGTCAGGATTATTAGCAGCCACGGTTCTGAGGGCTACCCAACGCCTTTACCCCCTGGAGAGGCTACAACCCAAATTCATTCCTAAGAAGGCCAGAGCCTTGGGAAGATAAGGGGTGGTATTCCTAGTCTAAGCAGCCAGGTTTGTTTGTCCTCTGAGCGGCGGTCTACGCCAAGGCAGCATTCGGTTTATAGGTAAATACAACTGACAGGAGTCCAGAAGAGACAAGTTGTGATTCTCTTAATAACAGGATCTTGCAGTGATTCAATCTATGGAGCCATCAGCAAGGCCACACTCATTCACCGAACATGTAACACTATGAGCAGGTGAACATCCCCATGCTCTGAGGCCTGGCTTTCCACTTTGGCTCACTCCCTAGGAGAGACTTCAATTACTGGTGTAATCCTCAACATTGTGGAATATCTCTCCACTACATTATAAATACTTCACAGAATAGCCCCTTTGTTATTTCTTATTAAGAACACAGGTAGTGTGACTCTTGTTGCCCCATGCTCTCTGTTAATTGTACAATAAGCAAGATGTACAGAAAGCCTCTTGCTTTCTGGTCTCCTACCCATTTGTGTGGGCACCATGTTGGCCTTGCATGCCACATTCAGGACTGCTTGTTATTCTTTTTTTTTTTTAAGATTTTATTTATTTATTTGAGAGATAGAGAAAGAGAGCATGGCAGAGGGAGAGGGAGAAGCAGACTCCCCACTGTGCACAGAGCCCGATGTGGGACTCGATCCCAGGACCCTGGGATCATGACCTGAGCCACCCCGGCGCCCCAGGACTGCTTGTTTTAAGGAACGTCTCTAGGACGTCCTGGCCACGTGTGCTATAGCAATGGGTGGAGATCAGGTTCAGTTACAGTGTCTCCCTCTGCACTCCGTTTCTCTTCCACCCAGTGATCCTTTTATATAAAGAAATTTTTATTGAAGCTAAAGCGCAAACTAGAAATGCACATGAAAATGTTGAAATGTTGTACTTCATGATTGCTATATCTTTTCCACATGTACTTTGCAATTTTGTGCCCAAGTAAGAAACAGAATGGTTGGAACTTTACAGACTGTCCATGTAACCAACCACAGCTGGAGATGAGTGGTGTTGGCCAAAGGAGGCAGAAATTATTTTTCTTTCAGAAGAGATGACTGTGTAAGATAAGCTTCTCTTCTCTGGGGTAGTTTGCTTCTTCTCATAAATCCCTCATGATTTGTGTGCCCCAGTGAAAGCTCAGTGATGGGAGGTGACATGAGAGGGCTCCAGGCTGGTCCTGAGAGCCAGGGGGCCAAGGAGGGTGAATGCCATAGTCTAACCCTGCATGAGACCCCGAGAACTTTGCCCTTCGGCTTGTTCATCTATCTCTTTACTTGGCCACTTCATTTATTTCTGTGATTATTTGGGAGTAGGTTTTTATATTTCTTGAGCATTATTACTAGGTGTACTTGGTGTAAGAAAAATGTACCCAATAAATGTCAGAGTGGCCTTACATGTATTTACAGCTAAGTCTGTATGAAGATGAGGTGCAGTTTGTGAGTAAGTAGACCTTGAATAATGTGCGTGTGTGTGAATGTTTTATGAAATGATGTTATAAGCCACCCTACTATACCTTAGTATGTGGTTCCTTTTTACTCATTGATTCTCATTGATTCTCTTTTTCTTCAACTGGGAGGAATTGTCTGTTCAATTCATGCAAAGATAAGTAAGACAGGGTGCCTGTCTTCAAGCAGCTGACAGTCTAAGTGGAGTGATGAGACAGGATGCAAGAACGGAGCTCTGAGTGACAGCATGACGAGTATCGTGGAATGCACAGCGCTCCTGTCTGTGGACACTAGGCAGGGGCTCGCAGATGGAAAGGAAGCGGGGGACTGAGAGACAAGTGAAAGAAGACAGTGGCAGACCTGGGGGACGGAAGGTGTGACTGACGGAGAGGAGCATCACTGGTAGTCTTTCCATTTTTCCTTTTTCTCACACACGATATCCAATTAGACACCCAGTGCTGCAGTTCTAACTTCAGCCACCTCTCTTGTCTATTTATCTTCCCTCCTTATTCTCTTTATGCTTCCCAGTTTCCTCCCTAAAACAAAAACAAAACAAAACATCTCTGATCGTACAATCTCCTTTTCCCCCTTTGGCTCTTCATTGGCTTATTATCACCCCTCCACCATCTAGATGGAATCGTCTCTTTCTAATTCGTTTCCTAACACTCAGACCCACCCCGCCAACCCCCAGACACCTTCAGAATGCGATGTCTCTGCACACACCCGCACCTCTGGTTTGCCAGGCCCTCTGCCACCAGCTTCGTTCCCTGTTCTCACGCTCACCAAGTTTGTTTCTGCCTCAGAGCTGTTCCGTTGAGTGTTTTCTGCTCTGAAGACTCTCCCTTTAGATGATCTTGTCATTTGGATCTCAGTGCCAAGACCTTCCCTGACCACCTCATCTAGAATAGTCTCCACATCACTTGGTTTCACCTTCTTGTAAGATTCAGGGCCACTGAGAGGGTGTGTAGTGCCTTTGCTGTAATTAGAGAGAAGTGCCTCCTCTCTTTGGTGCAGACCCCAACGGGCCCCTCAGCCGGATCTCTGCACAGGGGACACACTGCAGACTTCTTCATGATGGCCTGGAGAGTTCTGTCCCTAGCCGGAATGATCTTATTTGCCTACTTATTCTTCACCAGCCTCCCCAGCTCATTGTGTGACCCCAAAAATCTTCTATATTTTTCAGAGCTGTATCTCCAGTATTTTATTTGTGGCTTCAACCCCAGGGCTTAGAGTACCTTAGGAATCCAACAAATATTGGCTGAATGAATTAATGAACTAATGAATTCTGTGATGCCTTGATTGATCTTGTCTCTGTATTGGCTCAGGCCTCTGAATATACATCTTCTAGAGTATTTATCACATTGTGTTGTCATTCTCTTTCTATTCCATATCTCTTCCACTAGACTGTGAGCTTCTCAAGGTCAGAGAATGTGCCTTGTCAATCCTGTGTTGTTTAGCACAGTATCTGGTACATTATGGGTTCTCAGTAAGCATGTGTTTTAAGTTAATGGCTGAGTTTCTGAATCTCACTGAAAGGAAGAGAAGTGGTTCCATTAAAATAAGGAAGTCTGACAGAAGAGTGGTTTCCTAATGGGAAAATGAATTCAATTTTGAGTTTGAGGTGTCAGCTGAGTATTCAGATGAAAATGTCCAGAGGTGACAGGGAGTGTGGAAGTTGGGAGTGCAGCTGGGGCC